ACAGAACAGACATGTGCTGAGTGTGCTTATCGTTTAAGAGGGAATTGTGAATACACCATAAGCAAAATCCTATGTTCTGTGCCATAACAAAGTTCCAATGAACCAAGTATCAACATAACAAGCCAAGGACATCTGTACAAGATTTATTTCATTAACCACAATGTTTTAGAGTGACGGTTATACACCCTAATACAGAAGGAGTGATTCCAAATCCATCCAGAGTTAAAGGTCAGAGCCAAAGTCAGTGGCTTTAATCCCCAATCAAAAAGAGTTTCATTCACAATTTTGTTGTTCTTAGATTAACAGAAGAACTGATGTACAGAACACCCTGTTCTAAGCTCCGCCATGCTTTCCAACAAAGAAGCACCACCAGGGATTAGACTTCATTGCTTCCTCCTTGCTCTGGCTGTGCAGGTGGCTGGCAAGAGCCTCTTGTCTGTCTTTGACTCCCATTTATTCACAAACATTCCTGTTTCCAGCCACAGTTCCCCACAACGTCACATCTGAATTAATTTCTCCTGAATTGCATGGCTGTAATATTGACAAACAGGGCTAATGAGAGCAATTAAATTGCCATCTGTTTAACAAAACATACCCTTCTAAGAGAATATCCACAGTCCTATTGCATTTAGTACATCGTCACCACATTGAAATGACATGTTAAAATCAATACAAAAAAAATTTTTTAAACCACAAAATTTACCCCAGAGCCACTCTATAAATTTCCTAGAATTATAAACCATTAACATTTTTCTAAACAATGCAATCCAACCAGAAATGAAGATAAATTTCCCACCAGCAGGGGTACAGTATGTACTGAGGTCAAGAATGTACCTCTGATGAGGATTCTAATTCTCCCACAGCCACACCACCACCGTCAGCAGAATCAGTGTATGGACTTGTGCCACTCGGCTCTGGAAAGAAGTTCAAAATAGGGTCCTGGCCAGGGGAGGAGGGAAAGCGTCAGTGACTTAGTTAATCACCAGTGGGGACAAAACAGGAATCACTACCCTTGAAAAAGAACAGGGGTCCTTTCATCGATTCTGGTGGCCAGAAACTGGGGCAAATTGCAACAAGGTAATGAAAGTAACAAGAAAGCCATTTCTCCAAGAACTCCTATAACTTCTATCTTAACTTCTGATAAACATGAACTTCATCTTAGGCAAGCTTATTGAAAACTGCAATCACAACTGAAAAGGTCCTATAAACCTATGCTAGTCAAGGGATTCACATTCTGATCTTAAATTTTAAAGTCCTTAAGAGGCCTAGACCTGGGGTAAAGTAAACATAATACTCTGAAGCGCAATGAGACACCATAAAAAAATCAACTCAAAACATCCAAACTGACTGGATACCTAATGCAGCTTTTTAAAATTTTTTTACTATCTCAGATTAGTGTCTATTCATAAAACAAGGTTCAGTTATTTTAATAATAGCTGCTTATTAAACAACTGAATTTTAGCTCAAGGGCAATGCCTCTGTAATTACCGTGGAAAATATTAACTGCCCTAAAACAGAGAAAACATAGACGAAAATATAACTAGTCTCGATAAGAAGATAAAATCTGGAAGGGCTACTCTGGAGATTAAACAGGCTTATTTAAATACTATGATACAAGTGCCCCTGCTCACTTTATAACTACAGAAACCGATCGTGTTTGCTAGATCACCATTACCTTTGCTAGAACGGGTGCACAGACCACCACTCTGAAGTTCTCCTTTTGTGCTGAAAAACTTTCAAATCCCTTGTTCGGTCAGTACAGAATATTGCGAGGCGATGCATGTGCAAACTCTTCCTGAGGAATTCTTCACGTGTGCAAATCTGCAACCTGACAGAAAGCGTGGCATTTATAGCGGGGGAAGTGGCAGCTTTACGGGGCTGGCGCACTCGAGACGCACACGCAGCACGAACGGCCACGGGCACCTGTTCCCCTGCGATCTCACTCACAGGTCAGTGTTCACCCCACGCCTCAAAGAAAGGGAGAGAGGAACTGCCTCAAATTTGTAAAAGGGACACGGAAAAAAAAAGTGACTTTCCCACAAACCTGACCAATGCCCAACTCCTGCCTCCGGGTTTGCGTTTCTTCTAACTCTACCTAAGAACTGTTCAGAGGCCCTATACCAGGTTTTGCTTTCTGCTCCACAGAAAACAAGTAGGTCCTGTCGGGTTAGGGTGCAGCTGTGACAACGGGGAACAGGAGATGACACTGTTACTGAAGCATGAGGCCAACTCTGAAAGTAAGTACCGTCTCTCAATTACAATTACCAATGACTTGGACATGGCATTATTTCGAGGTGACTGAACTGCTTTCTTTTGGAGAGCCTGGTTTCAGGCTGCACATGCTTGGCGGTCAGGCTTGCCGAAGCAACTACGTGCCGATTAACAAGACAATCGGTGGACAGTTTTCTGTCCTCAATGATTTGGGCCCCACAAAAGCCAGGATTCAACTGGGGTGGAGAAACTAGATACTGTACTGGCAAAGAAGAATACAAGTAAACATGAGAAGAAAACACTTTCTGGTAAACGGTGCTTTGTCAATACAAAACGGAGGGCAACTCTGATTTCCCCTTGTGTTGCAAACTAAGAATTCTGTTAAGAAACCCAATTAAAGAAGCAAGGTCAATTTCTACTCAAAAACGAAGAAATAGGTTTTCCATACTGCAATGTACCTCAAGGGGCCAACAGGTAACAACCATGTCACATGCACTAGGAGAACGTGTATCTTCTTTCTATAGGGCCTTCCACTCACGGCCTCGCAGTACCACGCCCTGGCCCATAGCTAGCTGCAGTCGCTGTGCAAATATTTAGAGAAGCTGAATTTTGCAAACTTTGTCCACTTTTTGTTAACACATACATAATAAGAAGACAACATAAAATGTTTCTCCATTAACTTAATAATGCAAAAGCATCCAAAGATTTTAACACCAATTCACATCATAATACAATGCTTTTGTAGAGAAGTTCCCCTGTTAGCCAAAGAAACACTCTCCCAGAAAAAGCATTTGGGTACATTATTAGGATAATGAAGAATTCATCCCACATTTAAAGAAGCATCCCAATTTTATTCCTTTCAGAAATATTCCTGAAACCACTCAGGGGAGACTTTAGTTGCAGGTGTTATTTATAAGCCTGCAGCAAGCGTTCCATTGAGAAAGTAAACTTTGGACTTCATGATAGAGTGGAGTTCTTCCCCGATACCAGAATGCTACTGGGGTAGCGAATCAAACTGTATAGGGCACAGTGAGAACCTGTATATATTCTTCCAGTAATTCGGTGTGTATCAATACAACCCAAGATGCTCACAGGGTTAAAAATGAGTCCAATTCAAAGTCCTCCACAAAATCCAGCTCTGGTTGAGAAGTACTTAAAAGATAAATCTGCCAACTTTTACGTTTACTTCTCGGAATAGTAGTTTTACAAATAGAGGACTTCTACTAGAGCACTTACTTGCTCCTACTGTCACACTTCTAACTCTCCCACCCAGCCTGTTCCCCAAAAAAGGACAGAGTGAATTGGCAGAGGCCACTCTACGAAAAACCTGACAATCGGAAGCGTGGCAGTATCCCTGATCCATCTGGTTTTGCCCCAAGTTCTCCGAAGAGCTAAATATTAGTGTCACGTGGCCAAATACAGTCAAGCATATGCTCAATTTAGATTCAAGCAAAATTGAGGAGAAAAGTATTTTCACCTGCCACATCTATTTTTCTTTGCCCTCCCCAAACGACTAGAATAAGCTTTAGAGTCTTTTATAAGAAACTAAATAGCACTGTGGGTGTAGGAAAAAAAAAAAAAAAAGAGCTGTGTCACAGCTGGAACGAAGCTTCAAAAGAGCAGTGTTACTTCTCCTCTGTTATACTCGAATATAATGCTACAAAAGATGCAGACTGCAGACATTTTTTTTTTGAAGTACCTGTCTCACCCATTTAAAATGAAATGGATCAGGAATGCCACACCACTGATTATATCTGGATTTAATAACCATATCTGCTCCCCGGAGTATCCTAGTAACTAGCTGTCACCCTCTGATAAGTCTCCACTGTCCTAAAAAAGGGAGTTTTGGTGCTAGAGGACAGCCCATCCTACGCTAGCATCATGCCAACGCTACAGCAGCTGGTGAGATCATGGAAGTGATGGAGGGAATGGATGTGTTCTGTAAGAGTTGGTCCCCAACATCAGCATGAATATGCCACAGGTGAGGCAGGGGGGAATCTGACCAATGAGCAACGTGTTTCTATCTTCCCACTTACTTATTAGTATCCTGCTAAAGTCACACCTGCCACCTCAGTGGGTTAGTCTGTGACACCACAAGCTTTTTCAGAAAGCATCCGGGAGTCGAACAACTGGTCACGGAGTTGCAAAGTGCACAAAGCTCAAGGCACAGAGTAGAAAACAGTTGTGAACTGGTGAGGGGAGATGTTATAGCAGAAGCAGAGTTATTAGCATTTTCCTTGAACAAGACTTTCTAACGCTAAACAAAGACCAACTCTTTTAAACGGGGTTTGTTTTAGTTATGGGTAAAAAACACTGTATTGTAATGATCTGCTCGATTTCAAAGCAAAAGAGATCTCGATGTGTAAAAGCCAATGTGCTGAAGTGCCACATCCACAAATGAACAAAACAAGTGCTTTAAAAAAAAAAAAAAAATTCTTCTGCTCTTATACTTTTGGAGGAAGCTGCTGACGGTCGCTGCTGGATTTCCCTTAGCAATGGTCGCTTTTCAAGACGCCTGTTCCTCACGGAATCTGTAGATAAACTCATTAAAAGATTGTCCCATTTCAAAATCATCCCCAAGTCTAGCAGCAACTGACTGTTTTTTGTTTTTGTTAGTTATTTGTTTTTTAAAATTACAAACCAAAGTAAGAAATCCAACATCCTCTTCCAAGAACAACTTTGTGACAGAGCTCCTGAGTGTCTGCAAGACCCCCGCTGTGCTCCCAATACAGTCTCTGCAGCTCCAGTGTGTCCTCTTTTCGGGAAGGAAAGTACATTCAATACATTCACTATCTGTACCCTCTGGAACTTGCACACGCTGATGAGCTGTCTGGAAAAACAAAAAACATTGCGACAGGAAAAGGTATGAACAGCAGACGGCATTTGATAATGGTAAGAATCTGTTTATTTAATACATAGTTCTCACCCCCTCCCGATCCCTCAAAAGGAGATTAAAAAAAAAAAAAAAAAAAAAAAAAAAAAAGTGAGCGAAGTGAAAGGAGGCTACATCGTCAGAAAGGAGACTGGATCACTATCACACTCTAGCAGAGACTAAAGAATCCAAGAGGCTCTTGACAGCTGCTTGAGAACCACCGCCCCCAACTGGACTTCGGAGCCGTCACAGCTTGCAAAACAGCGTGAACTTGATCACACGGACAGCCTTGTGAGACCACCATCAAGAGCACTGTGGACACGATTACAACTCACCGTACGGTCACCACCAGCAGCTGCCTTACATAATAGAACCATCAGAAATGGTAAGGAACATCATTACTTACTATAAGCCAACTCATCCCCAGCTCTTTTCCGGGACTGGTCACCTCTGGGGATAAGAAAAGAAGAGGGAATCAACCAGATTACACAGACATCTTCATACATCCAAATGGGAGAAGTGAATTGACATAACTGGTAATACAAGGAAAGCAAGTATTTCAATTCTAACAACCTATCTTAAAACAGGCATTAAACTTAAACAGCAGTACAGTCATTTATAACCTGAATATTCTTAGCTAAAAGGTGTTGTCTTTTAAATATAAAACACTATTAAATGAAGGAAGGATTATCTAGAAAAATGGCTTACACTGGGTTCTAGAAATAGGTTCAGACTAAAAATGTGTTTGAAGATAAACCTGGGTTCTGCTACCAACACCCACAGCGAACGCCATATACTAGGGCACATTTCAAATATGAAATAGAGGATAATTCAAAGTCTTCCCCCCCAAAAAGCCTTATTATAAAACCAAAAACTGCTTAAGGCTTTAGAAAAATCTCAGAATCTTAATGTACATGAATACCCTTCCTACAAGTGGAAGAACATGAGCCTTCATAAATATTAACCAGTTCCATCTTAGACACCTAGAGAAGATTCTAGTTCCACTTTACAGATAAGAGATTCTGATTAGGTCCTAATGCTACCCGTAAATCCTACCTTTGTCTCTCCAGTTTCTCAGACTATAACCCAGACAAATAACTATAATGAGTAATAACAACCAATTTGCTAGCTTTTCCTTGCTTGGTCACTTAGCAGCATATACCTTGTCCCATCTTTTCCTTCCTTAAACACTTCTGGCTCCACCCAGCATAGTTCTTGGCCGCTTTTTCTTTCCCATGTATATATTCTCCGCAGGCCAGGATGGTGATCATACATACCAGTGCAAAGACTTGAAATACTATCCATATACCAATGACTCCCAGGTTTGTCTCCAGCTCTGATTCCTTCCCTATGCTGCAGATAGGAGGTCCAGCTGTCTCCCCTCATCTAACTGGGTGAGTCAGGACTGCTGGCAGTTCAGGATGGCCAGAATGCAGTCTGACTCCACGCCACCCCCACTCCTTCTTCAGTCTTCCTCAATAAATGGCACCACCATCCGCCCAATTACTCAGATCAAAACCCTGGCTCATTCTTGATTTCTTTCTTTCTCTTGCTCTGGAGCATACTGTCGCAAAACATAATCCAAACTCAACCACTCCCCATCATCTTCATGGCTCCACTCCCAATTTAAGCCACCATCATCTCTCCCCGAACACAGCTGCAAGAGTCTTATTATTAGTCCAGACCACAGCCAGAGCCATCTTACATAAAAGCATAAGTAAGATTATTTCATGCCTCTGATTAAAGCCCTTCAGTGGCTTTCCATCACAGTTAAAAATCAATTCAAACTCATTTTCCCAGTCTTGTGAGACATGGCTCTTGCCTACCTCCCTACCCTCATCTTCTACCTCTGGTTCACTACACTCCAGCCATGCTGGCTTTCCTTCTGCGCTGGGACACGCCAGCACTTTGGTACTTTCCTTTGTCTCTGCCTGCAGCACTCTTCCCGCTAGTTAGCCACGTGGCTGTCTCCTTACCACCCAGGTCCTCACTGGAATGTCTCCTCCTTGGAAGGCGTTTCATGTTCAAGTTGGCTGGACCAGCCCTTCACACGTGCTCTGGTCACTCACTCTTTATCCCATGCTGTCTCGGTTTGTTCACAGCATGTTTTATTATGTGAAATAATTTGCGTACATGTTCGTTATTTATCTCCCAACATTAGAGCACAAGCTCCATAAAAACTGGGTCTCATTTTTACCCAATACTTAGAATAGTGTCTAGCACATGGGCAGAAAATAAATATCTGCTGAATTAACAAATCAGTGAATAATTCATAAATGGCCTCTACAGATGGATTATGAAAATGCTAGCTCAAGTAATTATTTCATGCTTTTGAGTGATCTTCTAGATTAGCAGAGTTTCCCACTCTCCTTCCCTGGCTGTGCTCAAGACCAGGACAGAAACCTCTTGCTGGACAAGGCGAAGAGTCTCGATCACCAGCAGGAAGAGAAGATACCAAATGGCCTCTGAAGGTTTTTTCTCTAGGCTGGGCATGTAGAGAAAAACATGCAGCACACATAGCATGAACTAGCATCAACGAGCCTTAGGCAGCCTAAAGAACCCTCAACAAATCTGCCCTAATGCCACTTTCTTAACACCTCTGCTGTTAACACTACCCCTGGCCAAAGCCAGCTGTATCATCACAGTTAAGCATTCACCAAATATTCTGAAGCAAGTAGGTTAATGCTGATCAAAAACGAAGACACAGGATTTTATATCCAGAGCCTCAACTTGTATACACAACCTTCATTCCCACTCCCAAAGGGTTAAATAAAAGCTGAACACGTAAAAATAAGAGGAGAATAAAACAGATGTGCAAACAACAGAAGGCACAAAGGGATGTGAATGTGATATGTGAATGTGATATATGCGAGAGGCTGTGTATGTGGCCAAAGATATTATCTAATGCTCCAAGTCTGGCAAGCTATGGCTGCCCTCAAAACCAGACCCCTGCTACTAAACAAAAAAGTGCCAATTCTAGAGTGACCCTCTCAACTAAAAGATCAACAAGATCCCTGCAAGGTTCTATTTTTGTTGCAGAATTCCAAGTAACAAGTACTCTGCAAGATACCTACCTTTAAAAGCTATTCGGCACAAGCTCTGAAGAGACCCATAGTCTGGTTTGAAAGAGAACGTTCCGTCTAAGGGCACTCATGTTAGAAGTTCCCAAACAAGATTACATAATGTCATCTTTGATACCAACCTGCCCTCCCCCACCCTCCAATAATCAATTTAATCATGCAGGTAACAGATAAAGACAAAATTCTGCTCTCATTTGTTAAGTCTAGTACGTGTATTTCCATGTACATAAAGATGCTGCACGTGAACTCCAGCTCCGATGAGAAATGCCCATTAACTGCAATCGAGGATATATTTGACAACACCCACACCTCATTTCAAAGACACTCTGTGCCATCCACATCGAAGCTGTGTGATGCCTATTCAGGACTACGCCATGTAAATGGAACACGATCTTAAATGAAGAAATTGTGAAGCTCAGCAGGAATCGTGTAACTGGTTAGACATAAATCATAAAATGACTGCTCAATCAGGACAGCCAGCAACAGAATTCTGGTCAGACAGTCTGTACTATATTCTCAAGGTTTTTTGCATCGATGGACATCATTTCTCCCAAAACAATCCTAGCCAGATAATGAACAAAGAAGGCATCAGGTCTGGCAGGGCAGACTGCAGAAGACCCACATACAAGAGATTCACGGCAGCACGGGCAGCCTTTCTCTCAGCTGTTGAGTACATCATGTGCGCACACCTTTCCGTGGGGGGTGGGGCGGCTCAGCAGTGGAGTGGAGTGAGTCCAAGAATGTCAGCTTAGACAGAGCCTACTCTGTGCAAAGCACCCTTCAGCATAACCTGTGAGGCAGACTTTAGTCCTCACAGTAATGCAGAGGTTAATTTAATTCCAGAAGGGGCCCAATCTGGTTTGTAAAATAAAACATTTTAATCATATCACCTCTTGAAATACTAACATTTAAATTTCAGGCAGAAGTTGTATGAAAGAATTCCACTAAGAGAAACAAAAATTCTAATACACACCAAAAATCCAAGGGACCTTTCCCGACTACAACCCACTTGGCCTTGGCAGAGCAGCGCCGTGTTAGTCCTTCACGTACAAAGGCAACGTCACACTAGGCTATTTATGGAGTCAGTTCCTCTTTCATCCCGAGCAAATTTTAAGAGCTGCTGCACACTAAGCAGTCCTGCACCCTGTCCTCTTCTTCCAGTTCCAAAATCAGGCTTAGGAAAATATCTGATGTGTTTACATAGTTCCAGACACTGTTCTGGAAGGTGAATTCAAGGTGTTCAGAGAAATCCACAAGAGCTATCTTCACACAGTGCTTCACAGAAATAAAGGTTTTCAGAAGGCTGTTTAGTTTTTAAAGGCATCAATAAACTCACCTCTAAAATTAAAAGCAAACATTCAAATAAAAACATGAATAAAAGCATAAAGACTTCACTATTATGGTAAGCCTAAATTAAAGAAAACCATAAAAGGTATACTCAGATTATTTTCCATTCCCTTAAAAACATTTAAGAAAAAACTTTCAACTGCGATTCAAAACCCATACGCCATAAAGAAAAAACCTGATAATCACACAAAAATAAAAAACTGCTGCATGACTTAAAACAAAAAAGCCACCATGAGTAAAGTCATGGACAAACTGAGAAAACTAACGGTCTTATCTTGGGCAAACAATCTCTGCACCACACAGAGAGCCCCTAGAATTCAAGAAAAAAAAGACTAACAAACAGAAAAGTAAGCAAAGGTCATAAGCAGGCAGTTTACCAAAAAAGAAATACAACATGTTCATATTCTCAGCCTCACTCGTAAGAGAAATGCAAATGAAACCAACTCTGAGTAATTATTTTTCACCTGCCAGACCAGAGAAAATCCAAAAGTGTAACGACACACTCTACCGGCAAGACTATAAAGAAGAGGTACTTTCAAAATTTGCTGGTGGATATGCAAAACTGCACAATCCTCTGTGAAGGGAAAACTGGTGATACTGATCAAAATTACACCTGCCTTTTATTTTCGGCTCAGCAATCCCACTGACGGGAATTTACTCTCCAGATCCACCTGCAACAGGTACAAAATTATGCACGTACAAGGGTATTCATTGTAGCACATGTGTGACAGCAAGACCGGAAATAATTCAAGTTGCCATCCACAGGGGAGTGGCTAAACAAGTTCTAGCTACACAACAGAATGTGTAAGAAAGGAATAAAAATGAGAACACATATCGTGTCTGCTTGCATCGGTATATTAAAAGGCACACCGAAAGGAATCATCAGCAGCTCATAAAATGGTCACCTAACGAGGTAGGAACAGATTGGAAGACAAGAAGGAGCAAAACTTCTCAATGTATCCTTTTTATATCATCTTGACTTTTGAACCGTATGAATAGAACAGCTCTTCAAATATGACTAAGTAAAATGCTATGCCATTAAACGGCTTCATTCTGTGTATGAAAATAATACCGTTATTAGAAATACTGCAATTAATGTCAGGAAACACCTGGCCACTGGACATCAGGGAGAAAAATTAGCCTAACATTCCAGCATTCCTATGGCCTTCCCTTAACTTGATCCAAGAAAGTCAAGATTACCAGACCTATCTACACAGCTTCCGTGGGCCTTTCCTGTGTGAGCTGCCAGCAAGGGGGCAAATGATCAGTGGATTACTCAGTGCCCTCATTACCACATGAATATAGATAGCACAAGGGCAAAAAGGGAATAAATACCAACCCGTGAGGCTACAAAGAACAGACTTTCTACTTCCTTTCCTAACCTGTGCCGAGACTAGAGACAGTAACAGTGATCTTGGTCAAGACTGGTGTTCCGAAACTTAGCTTGGCTTCAGAACCAGTGAAAGACAAGGTCCATCCCCAGCCTAGCCTTAGATAAAGTGAATCAATATTCAACCTGCCATTGTGTTCACAACTATGCCTAACTTTCCGTAACTTTCTTCCTTTAATGTCAGGAATTGAAACAAGAGAAGGTATTTAAGAGTGCTGAGAGTAGGGATTATGAAAATATAAGGCCTGACTGCACCTTTCAATGATTTGGTGACACAACAGGGTATTTTCCCATAGTATAATCTATTTCAATTGAAAAAATGCACTTTGCAAGACTTTCTGGGATATAGCTACGATATTGAACTGCAAATTTTAGAAAAATTAGCCAAGTGTATGTATCAAAACCAAGGAAGGCAAATTTTCTGGACACATGTAAATATATACTCCAATTTTTAAGAAGAAACAAGTAGAATCTAGGACAAAAGTGAAAATATGAAAAACAGAATCTAAAAGCCTCTTTACTGGTTTAGTCGTAAAACGAAGTCATTTGCTTGTACCTTGTAACTAAAGTACCTTGTAACTAAACATAAAATTTCTCTGTTTTCCCAGGTGTTGAGAACTAACGTAGAGGATCAAAACTAGAAGAGCACTTAGAGGCTTCCCAGTCTAACTACTCACCCACTGAGAAATCCTGTCTTCAAATCCATTTTTAGTGACAGGCGGCTTCCATGGAATCAGACCCCAGCTGTCCCATCTCTGTGCACAGACAGGGAGCCAATGGCCTCTCCCCGCAGTGTCACCTTGACCATTCAGCAGTTATTTCCCACTCTAAGAACTCTGGCCTCCCTCCCCTGCCAAGCCAAACTGGCCTAAGGAAATGGACACATTTTGTCAAAAGGGGGGAAAAAAACTTGCCTCGTAAAACCATTCTGTATAAGTTCTCTTTGAAGTTTCTGATCTTCAGCAGCATATTCAGAAAGTTCAGACTCCACCGCCGGAGGGAGAATGTTTGGAATAAATTTAGAAAACAGAGTTGGAGCCATCTGAACCCACTCTGTGAGGAAAGGAAAAGATTCATTAAGGAAATCAGACAAGTTAAATGAAAAATGTAAAGTTTTCTTCTGTTCAAAGAAAGAATATATATTAAACCAAACTCAAAATGGGGGGAAAATTAGTGTAATCCTATTCTGATAAAAAATATACAAACAGGTTAAATTTCCTTTCTAAAATGAATTTATAGTCAAAGAAAGCAGTTATTTTTCCATTTTGCTGTCTTAACAAAATTTAATGAAAATCTCTAGAGAATCTGTGAATGGACCTATCAAAAATTGTAATTAATACGGGGGAAAAATGAGTGAGACAGGCAAAGAATTCCAAGTGGAAGGGACTTAAAAGCGAGGGTTTGGTGGAAATACTAACCCCTATAAGCATTAATTAAACAAAACAAACAAACAAACAAGCAAGCAAAACAGACGCTTAGAGCAGTGGTCCAGATGGGAGATGCACAGAGGTATGAGCAAAACACATAAAGGGGATTTAAAAAGTATACATTTCCAGTTATACTAACAAAGTCACAGAGATGAAAGTACAGCACAGAAAACATAGTAAAAAATATCGTAACAATGATTGGTGACAGACGGCAGCTACGCTGATGGTGGTGAGCACTGAGTAATGTACAGACGGAAGTGTCGAACCAATGTTCTATACCCGAAACCGACATAACGTTGCATGCCACCTATGCTTCAATACCAAAAAAAATTAAACAAGCACACCACATATGTACATACACACATACATACATACTGGCCCAAGAATAGAGAATAGTACAGGTAATAAGGAAGCATACAAAAAGTATCACAAAAATGGGGGAGAGAGGTCTAAACATTTAGGAAGTAGGCTGAAGATAACTAGAGTAAGTACTTTTGAAATAAAAACCTATTTTGGCCCAAACTAAATTATAGCAAATTAAATGTATGCAGTATTGAAAGAAAAGAGAATTAACATGGGTATCAAATTATTAAGAAAGAGATAAAAGATAAAGAGAATACTCTATAGAAAAATAAGCGTTCATCTATCAAAACAGAAAAGGCAAACATTTGCATCAGACATGACAAAGGTGAATCAGTATCCTTATTTATAAAACATTTTTATAAATCAGTAAGACCAAATAAATGAATGAAAGACAGGACTAATAATATACAAGACTTATAATTTGCAAGAAAAAAATAAACACAATGACAGCCTTGTTAATATTCAAAAAACTCAAGCTAAAATAAACACTCTCTTCCTCTTATTTTGTGAACGCTAAATACAACTAAAATCCACCTGTACCAAGGGCATGCTAAAACTAGCATTCCCCTACCCTGCTGGTGGTCTCAATTTAGCACTGTTATCCCTTTTAGATTCTTTTAATCTTGTCCTTTCAAATTTTCCCTTTTGGAAAACATCTTGGATGTACATATCAAAAACCATAAAATGTCAATGCTGTATTTAATCCAGTGAGCTCGCTTTAAAAATTGTAATTTGAGTAAATAATTCTATATCTGAAACAAACACAAGCAAACAAATATGTTTAATGCTGTGTGATGCTGGGTCACTGGTAAGTAAAAAATGCCCAACAGGAGGACAGTAAGTTAAACACGACCAGAACAAAACAACAACAACAACAAAAACAAATACCACAAAAACACCACCAGGGCCAAGCCGCTCACGCACTGTATAAACTCATGGCAAAAATGTTCTCAATAGTGTCCCTCCTGTTAGCTCAACTCAAATATGGCTTTACGGTCTCCACACGGTGCCCGGGAGAGCCGCTAGCCATCAGTCAGAGATGGCAGGAGTCAGACCGATATGCCATTTTCAGGAACTCCAGGCAATCATTAAAATACAAGATGAAGGAATCAAAGAAAAGTGTGTGTATTAAATGAAGAAGGGCCGGCTGGGACAGCTGGCACTGTGTCTCAACTAAGCTTCTAAAGATCGGATGGAAACACACCAAAAATTGTAATAGTCATAAGAATCTCCAAGGATTAGGGTCTAGGAATTAGTTTAAAAAACTTTCTTGGGTGACTCTCATTATACAAAGATCAGTGCTTGAGAACCACTGCAATGAAAGAAACTTCCACATTTAAAATTCAACTTTTAAAGTATTTTAACCTTAATCTGTCCAGTGACTAAAACTACTTTAACAAACCAGGAGCACAACAGGCACTGGCAAGACAGGTAAATGTCAAAATTATGTTTAATAGTATCTCAGAAAATGCCTAGGGCGGCAAACGGTTAGTCTGTGATAAAATTTGCCTTTTCAAAAGGACAACTCTCAAATACAAAATTCTCCTCACAAGTAGTATGAATCCTATTATAAGAGCTCGAACATGGATAAAACAGCATTTGGATAAATACATATCTGTAAGTTTTCCTACCCTTAGTGATTAGTTTTATTATGCAATTTTGCTATAGATGATAAAAGCCAGAGCTGATAAAGCTGCCTACTTGGGAGGCAGAATTTAGAAATTTGTCATACTGCATTTGGATGCCTTCCAAAATTAAAGAAAAAAAAAAATTCATAACCTATAGCACTAAAAGAAAACTTCATGAGCCATTTTCATCATTTAATAAAATGAATACAAAATTCTGAGAAACTAGAAAACATCAGTTTACTGGACATATGTAATAAAATATTTTTGCTATTTTATGTAAGTAATTAATTACTTTATAAGAATAACTTGTTTACAGTTATCAAGAATAGAGCAAGGCCTGATCCAAATTTAAGTAACATTACATCTGAATATTCTAGCAGACACTCATCATATACAAAGTAACCTGGGAAAGAAGGTATTTCTGACATCACAGTCTACTACTGGCACCACAGTTTTTAATTGGTTTCCATTTCAGCAAGCTAAATTCTCACATGTCTTTCAAATTAATTAAGCAAACAATCAAGCCGTCAATTAATGAAAATAAAATAACCACTGGACCCAACTGAAGAGTAATCAAAACAGCTAATATCAGCCATGCTTATTATCAGGTACCATGTTAAGCTCTTTAGATCATGTTTTATTTCATTCAATCCTTAAATGACATAAAGAATTCCACAAAAAAGCACTGTCAAAAAAGCATCCCTTAAGGTTTCTAGATTGTAGAACAATGTTCTACCCTGAGATCTTTTTTTTTTTTTTAATATTTATTTATTTTTGAGAGAGAGAGAGAGAAAGAGCGAGAGCAGGGGAGGGGTGGGGGGTGGGGGGGACGGGACAGAATCCGAAGCAGGCTCCAGGCTCTAGGCTGTCAGCACAGAGCCCAACATGGGTCTCAAACCCACAAACCGCAAGATCATGACCTGAGCCGAAGTCGAACACTTAACTGACTGAGCCACCCAGGTGCCCCTACCCTGAGAGCTTTTGCAATCTCTCTTACTAAAGGCATTTTGTAATTCGCTGGACAACTGTATGACAAGATTGAGGTTCTGGCTTATAAATAGGAAGATAAATACAAAAACATCTTGGGGTTCCTTTATATTCATAATTTAAAAAAAAATTTTTTTTTTTTTTACATTTATTTATTATTGAGAGACAGAGAAAGACAGGGCATAAGCATGGGAGGGGCAGAGAGAGGGGGAGAGACACAATCTGAGGCAGGCTCCAGGCTCTGAGCTGTCCGCACAGAGCCTGACGCAGGGCTTGAACCCACAAACCGGGAGATCATGACTGAGCCGAAGTCGGACGCTCAACCGACTGAGTCAACCAGGCGCCCCTCATAATGTTTTTTGTTTTTGTTTTTTTTTTTTTTTTAAATTCTAAGATAGATACATTAAGACAATTTACAAGCCAGGCCTTTGAATACAGTGATCTCTGATTTTTGGTTCTGCTGTTCTGACTCTCTCTCTCCTCACAATATACTTATGAAATGACTGTACATTTACCAACACTTCTAGATTCCTTGCAATTTATAAAATAGGCCTGAGAACATGAAGTTGTGGGTATGTATGTCTACATATACTTGCAGTGTGGGGTACAAGCAAAGGAGAAACTCCATAACAAAAAAAGAGATTAATACTGGATATGAGTGAGATTCAATTTCATCCAAAACGTCTGCTACAAATTCATTCCTTGTATTTCCTAACCGAGTTGGTTTTCACTAGTGTGGAAAGAATTTCAAGCGAGTCCTGAGTTTACATTTCATAATGATGAGTGTAGTATCTACTCAATGTTTTCTGGTTTTTTTTGCTATAACAAATCCAAATACCATTAAGCCTCAAGAAACAGATAGACAAACACTGTCCTCTTGGATAAGCTGGAGCTACCATAAACAGATAAACAAGCCCAACCCCAAAAGAAATGACCACTATTTACCTGGTCTGAGAGTGTATAGGCCTTTCACAATATTTGCCATAGTTGAAGGTGTGACCTGAAATGGTGTTGACTGGGCTTCTAAGAGTAAAGCTGAAAGAAGAGAAAATGGGTTATAAAAATGATAGAACACTTATTGTCAAGGTTTCTGTTACTATTTTTCCCAAAGACTAAAGAGCAAACGGGCACAAAAAAAGAACAGCCTCAGAGGACAAACCAAGTTTATACTCCCAAGAGTTTTAAAAATCCAATGCACTAGAGCTCAATCTAATAAGTAAACATGTGCAGGTCTGTTAAAACACTAAGGGAGATTATTCAATTCATGGAGGTTCTGAAAATAAGCTTTCCAAAAGCAATAGTATTCACGGTACTTAGCAAGTGAGCTGAGAGTACCTCCCACTAAGTTCATGAGTCAGGAGGTTTACATTTGGAAAATAAAATGGTCTCTAACCCCCTTGAATCATTTCTCTTTCCCCAAATCGCCATATTTGAGGCTCCTGGATACTTCATTCGTAATTTTAGGAAATGCAATCAGTCAGAAAGTCACTTTTCCAAATGCTACAACTACATGTACTTTTTTCTTACTAAAAGTAAAGACAAGACACTGCCTGGCTCATCCTCACTTTCCTGACTCTCACAACCACAGGACTCCGACCGACAGTGACAAGAGAGTCAGTTTTCTTTTAGGTTATCTTCTCCAATGAAAATTTTATTAAAACATTTTTAAATAAATAGAAATAATTCCTCCAAATAACATCACTAACAGATATCAACATATTCCATCATTTCGTAGATACAACAGACACCACTGACTCAGAAGTTAATTTTTAATTTATCTCTCAAAGACCTACAATTGACTACCCCCAAACCCATAAAACTTGGCATAATTTTACTCTAAGCTAAGCTTGTAAAGTCATATATAAGCTATGCCTTTTCAAAAATGAAAACACCACCTCACTTGGCCAGCAATGATTTTATAGTTTTCAAACACGCAATGCGAGTTACATCTGAACTTATGTGATGACAGTAAGAGGTATACTGTTCAAGGTGATCCTTCTGCTTCTATGGTCAGGAGAGAGCTGCTAACTCTGAATGGCACAGATAGATACATTTTAAGGATGACAAAAGCACTGCAGAAAATGTTTTAGAATGCAATTAATTATTTATTTTTATTTTATTTTTATTTTTTTAATAATTATTTATATTTGAGAGAGAGGGAGAGCTCGAGCAGGGAGGGGCAGAGAGAGACAAAGACATAGGACCCGAAGCGGGCTCTGCGGTGACAGCAGAGAACTCGATACAGGACTCGAACACACGAACTGTGAGATCATGACCTCAGCCAAAGCTGGATGCTTAACCAACTGATCACCCAGGTGCCCCTAAACATTGCAATTCTAAATTTTAGACCCTAGGAGTCTCTTCAACTCAAGGTTATCTCTAATTTCAACATATGTCCCACATGCAGACTCTACCTCAAATCATTTCCTACCTTTTGACCAATCATTTTGGCCTTCGTAAATCTTGATCCCACTAAATCTTCATGTTCAGTCACATGTTAATTATGTAATCAAATATATACATTTACAAATGAAGAAATGATACATTCACAAATTAAATTATACATAAAATATATAAAAATTAATTTGGGGTGAATTAAATGAAAAGAATTATATTCAATAACAAACAATTACAAAGTTGAGAAGGTGTTAACAGTTCACTAAAATCCTCTCCACCTAAATTATTTTTAGGAGATCAGTGTTTAGAAGACTTGTAGTTGATCTCCTCTTTTAAGAAAAAGGAAGAGAATCTGGGGAGGCAGCAGCTTGAGACTGGGAAGAAAATATTTCTTGAGTATTTAACAGGTGCTGGGTACTTTACAGGTTTCTCATAAACTTTACTTACAATTTACTTTCTCACAAGCTTAATTATCATCTTTTTTTTTTTTAACAGATAGGGAAACAGAGGCTAAAAACAAAACAATATAAAACATAATGAAAAATGCATCCAAAGTCACAGAGCTAGCAGGCAGCAGAAGAGGGCTGAGAACCTATGTTTCACTCTAAATTTGCATTCTAATTCACCATGCCACCGTTGAAATACAGATCTTACATGTAACAGGTACTAATAAAGTACTAACTAGTACTAAAGCCACTGTTAACTAAACCCTTAGTTAACAGTCCCCCCCCCCCCCCCGCCAAATTATATAGTTAAAAAGACAAAACAAGGATTCTCCAACAATCCCACTGATGGAAACTAGAATTGGACTTTAGTGAACTTCTAATGCTCTCACCTCTTTCTTTACAGTCTATGATATTAAAGTCCAGAGAGATTAAGTGCCATCCTGAGAGTCACACAGCTTAACAGTTGACCTGGAACCAGAACGAAGCTCCTCCACTCATCCAATTATTCCTCAGAGCTACAAGCTGACCCCAGGGCTTCTCTCCTCTTTTAATATGAGAAGTAATTCTTAAAATCAAAACTGAAATTAAAAATATTTTTTGGGGTGCCCAGGTGACTCAGTCACTTGAGTGTCCAACTTCAGCTCAGGTCATGATCTCGTGCTTCACAAGTTCAAGCCCCACATCGGGCTCTATGCTGACAGCTCAGAGCTTGGAGCCTGCCTCAGATTCTGTGTCTCCCCCCTCTCTCTCTCTGTTCCTCCCCGGCTCATGTTCTCTCTCTCAAAAATAAATAGACATTAAAAAAAAAAATAAAAGTTAAAAAAAAAAACTACCTTTATTTGCAATGAGAAGTCACTATCTTCATTCATGAAACAATTGTTAAAATAGGGCATTAAAGGGACACCTAGGTGATCATTAGGGCATTAAAGGGACACCTGGTTCATCTCAGGTCATGATCTCGTGGTTTGTGGGTGTGAGTCCTATATCCGGCTCCACACTGGCAGGGCAGACAGGCGTGCTTGGGATTCTCTCTCTCCCTCTCTCTCAACCCCTCCTATCTCTGTCTGTCTCTCTCTCTCAAAATAAACTTAAAAAAAAAAAGGCCTGCTTTTAAAAAATAATACACAAATTTTTAAAAACCAGGGCATTCGAATACCAATTATTCATTAGCAGAGAGGGTGTTCATTTTGCTCTGCTGTAAAACATGGCCCCTAAATTGTTTCAACAGGTCTCCCACTGAGAGGTGTCCCTGTCCAGTCCCCTGGAATCTGGGTTCTATAACTGCCTGCTCAACAGAAGACAGCAAAAGTGACACTGTGCCAGTTTCTAGGCCCAGGACTTAAGAAACTGGCAGTTTCCATTTCCTAGATCTTGGGACACTCACTCTTAGAGGGAACACAAGAGAGAAAACTACAGCCACCACAACTTGCCAGTCATATGAGTGACCCATCTTCAAAGTCCCCGACCCCTGGGTGAGTCGCATCAGCCGATGCTGAGTACAAAAGAGATAAAGTGCCCCGCAAAGCCCTGCCCAAATTGCAGATGTGAGCAAAATAAATGACTTTATAAAAGATTATGTGTTGAGGTGATATGTTACATGGTAATAATAAACACTAGCATTTTCAAATGTATCTAAAGCCACAAAAAGGAAATTACTGATCAGAATTCAGACAATTATACACATGGAGTGTAGCTGTTTTTGCTGGAGGGGATAAGTATAGGAAAATGTCAACTAGGGCCAAGAAATCAATTCTTAATAGCTGTGTTTTTCTGATTTAATTAATATTAGCCTTTCTATGCCTCATTTTCTCCATCTGTAAAATGGAGGTAATGACTGTCCTAAAGTACCTAGAATAGGTCCTACTACATAGTAAGCACTATATGTGTGTTTATTTTTAAAAAATCTTTTTTTTTTAAACATAACATTATTAAACACTTAGAGTGTCTCTTGTTGTTACAGAGCCCAAACTAGGCCAGTGATCACTGTGTGAATCCCTTACTCTAAGCACAATGCCTGGTAACTGCTCAACAGATAACTGATAAGCTCAGGTTTATCCAATTTACAAAAGCTTAAGGAACTTTACAGTTTACTTGGAAAAGAAAAGCCTGTCTACCTTTAAATATAATTTTGGTTGAAAATCAGATTCTATAATAAACAAGATGATAATTACTTTTTTTTGAAAAATAAAGTACAAATTAATTGAAGGTTTAAAAGGAAAAAAAAAAATTCATTTTTTTCCGGATTTTATGTCTTTATGTGGTCTGATCTTATAAAATATCATGAATTTATGGAAGGCTTACATGGACTGAAGACAGAGTTGTCTCACCAGATCTGGACTACTATATTCTCTTTGAATATTTTCTTTGTTTTTGCCTAATAAAATTGATTTCCAAATTAATGACAAATATAAAAACATACAGAGTAATCAAATAAGCTTTTCTACCAAATGGCAGTGTTTCTCAAAGAATTTTAAAAGGAAAGACTTCAAAATACTCTGTTCTAATTTACAGTGAAGGCAAAGACAATGTCAACATCAGAGATAATATTTAAGTGGTTGTAACAGCTGCAATATCTCATGAGATTACATTTAAAGATGTTTATAAACATATGTCCAGTTTTTTCAAAAGTCGTACTCCCAAGATATCAGTCTCTATTCTGATTCTAGAATCTGTTGGGAACATAATAATGAAACAAATATTATCTTCATCTAGCATATTATTTGAAAATTCTGCTTTTCTAAAATAAACTAGCCCAATGTTTAACAGTTCCTTCTCTTAATTTAAAGAGTTTATGGTCAAGCTTAGAATAATTCTTTGTAAATACTAATAAAAGTTTGCTGTGGTACAGACTATTTATGACTATTAGGAAAGCAAAAAATACACACTACAAATCCAAATATCTGCCAAATTCTAAAAAACGACTTCAATAATATACTGCATAAAATAGGAGCTTTTAAAAGATGCTGAGACATTAGGTTGTAGGGACTTCCTAAACTCCACGTAGAGAGGTATACTCTTTCAGGAAAGGTAGGATAAGATGCCACCTACTGGGATGGGGCAGGGGGCCAGGGAATAGGGGGAGAGAAAAACTAACTGAACTTGGCACTTTGATCTGCTTACTTGCTGACTATGTTGCCATTACAGTAACCATTTTACAAGTCCCAACTAATAGAAGAAAAACTCAGGACCAGAGGCTGAGAAGCTTGCCTAACATATAGTTAATAAGTGACAGAGCCAGACTAGAGATTTTTTTTTTTTTTTTTTTTTTTTTTTTTTTTTTGAGAAGAGATTTTTATACCAAAGGGTAAAAAAATCAGAGAGGATTCTGTGCTTCCATTTCAAAGATACAGTATTGTGCTCCTTCCAGAATTACCCTTAACAAAGTTATGGGTTAACTTCCCCCATTGTTGGCGGAGGGATGCGGGGGAAGAGGAAGTGTCAGGCCAGATAATAAAGGCACTCACTGCCCAATAACCTGGCTAAGTGCCCCCAGCTCTCCAGGGGGCTTCAAATCACATTTTCAATTCCTTTGGGTCTCTCTCTACAGAACTGAACTTCCAACACATCTTGCTATGATTCAGAAGATGTCAACCCTGGGCTTTATATGCCGATGCTCTCTAATCAAAAATCAAAAAGATCACTGGGGTGCCTAGGTGGCTCAGTCGGTTAGGAGTACGACTCTTGATTTCAGCTCGGATGGTGATCTCACAGTTTGTGAGGTCAGTTCATGAGGTTGAGCCCTGCGTTGGGCTTTGCACCAACAGCACAAAGCCTGCTTGGGATCCTCTTTCTCCTCTCGCTATGCTCCTCCCTTGCTCATGCTCTCGCTCTCTCTCAAAATAAATAAACTTAAAAACAAAAACAAAAAAAACCTTGTTAGTGTTAACTCATCCCTGTAAGTTGAAAACACTTACGCATTAGGCTGTAAATGTGCTTTTCTGCAACATGTTCCGTAAACAGCTTTATAAGGTCATCTTTTAGGTCTCTGTTAAGCTTGGTTTCGATGTAAAACTTATTCTGAAAGAGAAAATACATTATGTTTAGTGTATCGATTAGGGGGAAATGATCTGTCTAATGAACTGAAGCACTAAAAAATAAATTATTTTAGGAAACAATTTATAAGGGCATCAATTAAAACATTAAACCCCAATATCAGAAAACAAAAGCCCTGCTACTATTAGTTATATGTCTTTCTGGCAAGGGGTTAAAGTACATAAAGATAAAATGCTATGAACCACACTACACTCCAAAAGAACACGGGAAGATACTCAACATTAACTAAACAGATATAGAGACACATGGACCACACTGCGGGAGAGGCACATAACATGCCCTTTAGAAACAACTCCATCATTGAAAGGCAACAACAGGAAACACTAGGGAAAGGTACCCCCTTTACCAACGATCTAGGCTGAGCAGGCACTGGTTGACTCCCCAACATACAATCCATTGTAATCATTAGTCTAAGTTATTCACCTGTGGCATTTCTTAGGAATGGTTTTTGATTCAAAGGCAGACACATGACCCAACATAGAACAATCAGACTGAGGGAAACCTAGGCTTTGGTGCCAAGCATCTTATAGTCACTTTACAACCGTGAGAATAAGATGAAACAGATGCTGTGTACAGTGAAGAGACAAAAAAGAACCTGAATCCTTGGTAACACTACTGAACCATGGATTCAACCAACCCTAGAGACAGCCTTATTTGCAGAGTTTTATTCCAAGGGATTAATACTTTTCCTAATTTGCTTAAATCACTTTGAATCAGGTGTTCTGTTTTTTTGTAGCCAAAAGTATCCTGATGAGAACGACTGGCAAGTCAAACAAGATTGAACTTGTTCATATTTAAATGTCAACTCCATGGACAGATGTGGGAAATACAAGGAAGAACATTAGCAAGTTGCTCTCTGATTCTCTTAATTCTTAGAAGATTATAAAAATCATAATAATACGTACATGGTGACAAAATAAAACCATGCAACAAAAATAAGTCTCGCACAACAGACCCTCTGTCGCATTCCCAAAGGCCCCATTCTACTGCGGAAACTTTTGTATATTCTTTCTAAAATGCTGCTTGCATATATATGAATATGCTTTATTTTCCATAATAAAGAGAAAACACTTGCTATAAAGAAATATTACATACTGCTTTGCATGTTGCTTTTTTTTACCTAATGTATCTGGAGATTTCTCTCTAAATGTACATACATGTTATTACCTTTAACTGCTTACTTTTCTACTGTTAATCTTCCACAAGTTATTTAAGTAATAGTCCCCTGCTGATAATACAGATTTCTCCCAGTGTTCTGTTTTGTTTTTTCAGCAAGGTATATTTTATGGAGAATAAATCATTTTGGAGATTACTATTTCACAGATAGCAATCTTTATGCTACAGAATACAGATCAACCCAAACATCCCATTTCCTAATCTAAAAAACAAAGAGGAATTGCAAAAATGGTTCTTAAGGGCCCCTGCCTTCAGTAAGAACACCAACATCAGGGTTCTGTGGCTTGGGCACCTGGGTGGCTTAGCCGGTTGACTGTCCGACTTCGGCTCAGGTCATGATCTCACGGTTCGTGGGTTCCAACCCCATATCGGGCTCTGTGCTGACAGCTAAGAGCCTGGAGACTGCTTCAGATTCTGTGTCTCCTTCTCTCTCTCTGCCCCTTCCCCACTTGCACACTCTCTCTCTCTAAAATAAATAAAGATTTAAAAAAAAAAATTCTATGGCTTTATATATTTAGGAGGGAGAGGGAGGCAAATCAACAAAGTCAACAGACTACAAACTATATTCATGGCATAATTCTCCAAATGAAAGAGATCATAGTGGAAGAAAATTTTATTATTCTACTTTTTTTATGGGGTGACTTGACATTATCACACATCATGTTTTTAAATATATTGCTTAACTCTCTACTTTCTGAGGACAAGAAATCTTTCTTATATATCTTTATTTCCCAAGCACAGGATCTTCCATATGGCAGAAATAAAATAAATGCTAACACAGTGACTGCTGATTATTAATGCCTAATTGTCTATTCAGCAGTGTTATTTATGGAGTTTTTAAACAGTAAAAGGGTATAAACAAGTCTATGTCAACACAATCAAACATTACTGAGGTAGATTAATTTCCATTTCTAACACAATACGTAGTAAAAGAGAAAGAGAACATGCTTAATTCTGTATCTATCTGTATTTAGGCCAATAAACTGAGATACTTTGGAAAGGGAAAACAGCTCTAACTTACCATATATATGAAAAGAGGCACAATGCTCTGCAATGCTCCCATATATTGTCCAAGGGCTATATTAAATCTTTCAATATAGAGATCTGGAGGGCTGGCCTGTGAGAAAGAACATAAATGTGATCATTATGGGAAACCAAGTATAAAGACCTTCCAATACAAATCTAAAATGCAAATACACTCAGAAGTCCAAGTCAAAATTCATAATGAAATTCCCAATAAAGAAAAGGAGAAGGTGTATATCCTGAAGTTTAGTTTAGACTTCTATCTTTGTTTCAAAATCTGCTACGCAAAACTGAAGTTTGGTTTTGCTGTCTTTAAAAACTGTGTAACTTTACCATGCTAGCTAAAAGGCTTGCTCAGTTAATGAGTAAAAAGTTGAATTCACAAGTTGTATTTATTAAGATAAATGATTTTTAAAATTATCACTAAACTATGTGTACATTTCTGATAGGAACCAGGCTGTATTTGGACCTAGAATAAGGAAAAAAAAAAAAAAACAACTCAAGGAAATGGCACAGGCTTAATACACTATGAGAATGGCTGTTGGGGACGCTTGGGTGGCTTAGCTGGTGGCTAAACGTCCAACTCTCTTGGTTTCAGCTCAGATCATGATCTCACACTTGGTGAGCTGGAGCCCCACATCAGGATCCATGCTGACAGTGCAGAGCCTGCTTGGGATTCTCTCTCTGCCCTCTCTCTCTCAAAATAAATGAATAAAATTAAAAAAAAAAAGTTTGCTGCATTTTTATAATTACCTTAGGCACAGTAATATTCCGAGTTCTATACCACTTCTATAGCTAACCAATCAGTTAGAAAGCAGAGACTTAAATGGTTCATATACATCTGCAGCTCTGGAGAGCAACAAAATAAACATAATACATGCCTGGCTTTTAACTCATTGTTACCAAAATACCAGGTCATAAAGCCATCGAAAGAAACACTTCCAATTTTACTGCGGGCTATGGACTGAATTATGTGTCCCCCTCCCCCAATTCCTGTGTTGAAGCCTGAACTACTGTGCCTGTATTTGGAATAAGGAAGCAATTAAGGCTAAATGAGGTCATAAGAGTGGAGCCCTGATCCTTTAGGATTAGTGTCATGAGAAAAGATACCAGGGGGCTCAACCTTCCTCCCTCTCTCTTTCTATCTCCCTCTTCCACCTATCTATCCCCCACCAACACACTCAGAGGAAAGGCCATGTGAGCACCCAGCAAGCCCATAGCTGTCTACAAGCCCGAAAAAGAGCTCTCATCAGAAACCAAATCAGAGGCTACATTAATCTTGGACTCCCCAGCCTCGAGAACAGTGAGAAATAAATTTGTTGTTTAAGCCAACCAGAGTCTGAGGTATTTTGTTACGGCAGCCCAAGCAGACTAAGGCACTGTGTTTTATGAAAGTACATCCATCTACCGTTGCATTTTATTCTCTAAAGGTAAATTAATTGGGTGCCATTTTAATATTGAAGAAACGCACAAATGGGCAAGTCATTTGTCTAAAATTAGAGAGTAAACAGGATAGACCCAGGTCTCCCAGCTACGAATTCATTCCAGAGCTAGAGAGTTAGGGGGATGGGCATGGCACAAGCTGCCATGCAAACAGGTGGTTCCAACCCGGCGAAGTCTCACTGCCTGACAACCATAACCTGCACAGAAGGTCTTGCTTTCAAACAAGGTATAAGGAAATGCTATGCTGAAAAGATTCCTAAGTGCTAAATTTAAGCAATGAAATTATAAAACCATTTCAGCTATACTGTTTTAGAAATGTCCCAATGTTCTAATACTATTTTTAAAATAAGACTTAATTTATACTTTTTTCAGTTCTACTTAGACGTTAGAGTATGTGTAGCGAACTGTCCTTACTTCTAATTCATCTCTCATTATTGAATAGAGGGTTGGCACAAACTAGGTCCTTTTTTCACATTTATTTTTCTTGGTCCTCCTAATTACCTGCAAATTGAATGTTATGTCCATTCTACGTATGAGGCAACTAAGGGCTCAGAAGGAGTCACTTGCCTACACCCCCACAGCCAGTGAGCCCAAGAACTAGGACTCAAACCCTGGTCAATCGGAGTCCTTCCATGTATCCACCCTCCTTGTTTGGCACCCCGTAACCTTTAGAACAATTCAGGGCACACCATCTGCCTCTCTGCTTCACATCTTGCTCCTTCTTGTACACGGCCCGGCACAGCACTCACAAGGCACTCCCCTAAACAGTTCCCAAACAACGTCGGTGTGCCGTTTGAGACCTCCTTGACCCCTCTTCCTGAACGTCTCTATCACTAGGGCCTGATGAGACTCACCCTGAGCTAACTTCTATTCACCCTTCAAGATTTGTGTCCCTTTCTCAAAACTATCTGAGATATAGGCCGTCCAACAGGGCACCATCCCTCTTCTTCACTTCTCCCGCTAGCTGGTCTTTGCCACTAAACTTCAAGTCCCCGGAGGGCAAGACCTGTGTCTTTTCTTTATGCCTCCGCAGCTGACCACAGAACCTGGAACACAGCACGCAGAGATAAATGCATTTTTGCAAGGACAGTCTTCCTTAAATCTAAATTTCTCTAAATGTATCTCAATCTAACCTAATCTAGCCTTGTTTTAATCTAAACTGCTTTTTTATTATCTGACAAGACTGTATGACCTTAGGCAATTCATTTAGCCTTCTGAATTTCAATTTCCATAAATATGAAATAGGAAGAATACTAATTGTGCTACTTCTAAGATATGCCAACAATCAAAGAAAACAATATGAATATGCTTTGAAAAATGTCAAACATTACAAATGCATATGCAACTAGTGAGGATAAGTAAACTTTCAGAGTTAACCACCTATTTGTCTAATACTTCAGAAAAACCTATTAACATTATGAAAGGCAGTCTTTTGTTAACTAAAGAAGTTGGGGGAAATGGTTCCACATTATAAGCATACTTTTAACTATAACTAATGGACAGAATCACATGTAATATCTTTTTCTAAACTGCTGCAAAGAGCTCTGGAAATGATATTTCAGCATCCAAAGAAATAAATTTTAGAAGTATTATATGAGAAAAAGAAAATCTGAAGAGTTTTTGCATTAAAATAATTTTCCCTTTTCATAAAAGGACACTTTATCTATTCAGAAGTTAAAAGTATGAACACTGATCAAAAGGCACACTTAATAGCAGACAGAATAAATAAAATTGAATTCCTTAGTTATTCTTTTCAAGAATTCCCAAAGCCTCAAAGGTTATGAGTATTAAAAAGCACTTTTTGTACTAAATCAAATGTCAGAACATTTACTTAGCTTTTTTAGTTCCACATTTCATGCAGCACTTATTCAAAACCTTTTAAATGACAGGACTATAAATTATAACAGTCTTCTAAAATAAATCCAATCTCTTTACTAGGAACTAGAAATAACTGCTATTAAAAAAAATAACAGATTGTTCCTCCTTAAAACTTAAGTTCAGTATACCTTGGGCCCCACTGGGGAAATTGCTACCTGTTTGATTTACATCATTTCAATATGAATGTATTTGGCTTGGACATTAAATGCAATTTTTTATCCCTAAAATAAGCAAGGTTCATTTTTCTTCTAAAAAAAAAAAAAAGAAAAGAAAAGAAAAGAAAAACAAGAAAAAGCAAGGTGCCAGAAAAATGACCATTGCTCCAAACTTGCTCCAACTTTTCATAACAGACCTAGATTCCCTGAAATTCATAACACAGCTGGTAGGAATGTTTCAATCTCTTCTGTTTTTAAATGGGTAATACATTCATCTGGTTTAAAATTCAAATGCATTCAAAAGGAAGTAAAGAGTTTACCTTTACTCCTTCCTCGCTGGACCAACCAACACTTAATTCCTTTATATCCTTCCAGAAGAATTTTACATACATACAAGAAAATAACTATCCCATTTATATCCCTTTCCACCCAAATGCTAATATAAAACCAAAACAATCTGTACCTTTCCTAACAACATTATCTTGGAGACTTTTATTCTAGTGGCTCTCAAACGTTTTGGTCTCAGAAACACTTGACACTCCTAAAAATTATTAAAGCTTCCAAAAAGCTTGTATCATATGGATTGTATCTATCAATAATTACCATACTAGAAACTAAACCTTGGTTTTAAAAATATGTATTCATATTTATTCCAAAATGACAATAATAAGGTTATTTCATTTTAACACTTTAATGTTATAGTATATACTTTAGATTACAAACTAGTTGTATATAAATAACTATTTTCCCAAAAAAGGTAAGAAAAATGACATTGTTTTTACATTTTTGCAAGCCTCTTTAGCACCTGGCTTAACAGAATCTAGCTTAACTGCTAGATTCTCATACCTGCTGTGGTATGGAATCAGTCATGGTATGTTGTTTTGGTTGAAGTAAATGAAGAAAATCTAGCCTCACACAGATATGTAGGCAGATAAGGAAGGCATTTTTAATATCCTTTTCAGGTAATTGTGGATATTTTTCTTTGAAACTTGAACAAGTGGTAGTTTCTCAAAGGTTAGTTGCAACAGGAAAGCTGAAACTATCATGAATTCTTTGTACTCTATTACATTAAAACCCACTGGCCTATCTTGTACTATGAATGGATCTTTTACCACATACATTTTATATCATCACAAATTGGTCATTTATAAAATACTGACTGAGTTATGCAGATCTTCCACACGTTGACACGTTTCACTATACATGAAAAAGAAAAAATTACATTTGTTACTATCACCACCTATCTCATCAGAAGAGTCTTTTTAAAAGTCCTAGAAAGCTATCAAGGTCATGGTGGTAGACCATGCGGGTTTTCCAAAATTCTAATTTTTACTTCAAAGCTCGAATTTTATCATTGCCAATAAATACTGTCAGTTGCTTTCCTTGAAGTGACACACTTGATTTGAGAAAATGTCGAATATACCAAAGTCTAAACAACCACAGTTTGTCGTCATTCTTTCAAATAAAAATAGTGTCAACAGGAAAACAAAACCCAGCTAGTTTAGCTCAATATTTATACAACCACACACAAGTGCTTTTTCTTAAAACAATCACTGTACTTTGGTATGTAGTTTCCCATTTCTTCACACAGGATTTTTTAAGTTTATTTTTTTTGTTT